TTAGTTTTAAATAGATTTATGTACAAAATAATCGTGTATGTACAAAATATAACGGCGTCTAACATCATTAAAATAAACATTAATTTCTTTGAAAATTTATTATAAAATATACGGATTTTATAATAAATTTCGACTAGGGCTTATATAATTTACTATCCTAATATTAAAAACGAAAAAACGATCAATGGTATCGTGTCGTAGTACCAAATAATTACGTTTTTCTATTTTCTTTATCAGAAAAAGCAAAATTCAGCTAAATGAAAGCTAAGCCTATAGACGAAACGTATAAATTTTAGAATACATTATTTTAAATTCATATTTCTTTTGTTATACTCGATTTATAGACTTAATACATATGTCAACAACATCAAACTCAAATTTATACAAAATATGATATGCATTTTTAACATAGAATACACACAAATGGTATAAAAAATTTATATATTATTTATGTCTTTATGTAATTTATTCTATAAAACTGATTTTTGTTCATAATTCAGAAGCTAATATTTTACAGATAAAAATTATAAATTTTTTAAATTAAAAATCTAGTATTATTGTGAACGGAAAATCCAATACCGATTATTATTACATAATTTTTTTAAAAAATATTTACATTACAAGTCGAAATGTTGAGATTTAAAAACCAAAATTATTTTATTATTATACATTAGTTTGAGCCAATAAGTCCAATGTCGACAAATACTTTACACACGAACATATAAAAAAAGATTTATAGTACAAATCTATATTATTCTGAACCAATAAAAACCAATGCTGATGATTAGCATTTGTTAGACCAGTAAGTCCAACGCTGATGAAAACTCTACTATTAATACAAATATTTAGATATAAATAATTATATTTTACCTTTTTTCTTCATCAACAATAAGTGCTATAGCGCGACGTCCAAGACCGCGATCATCGCTGGCCGGCGATTGGAGCCATTTCCGAGCCTGTTCTAATCTTCCTTGTACTGTGTGAGCGGTCTGTTGCAAACCAGCCTTGTCTACCCCGAGGACGGCTCCCATGACTGCTTGTTGTAATTGCTACAAACGTAGATTTATGCAATATACTTAAGAAGAAAATAATTTCCTTTATGATTAATTATCAGGTTCTTCCAACGCTTAAAAGGAACCACTTTCTCATGTTTTCAATGACATCACGGCCAAATGATGAGGGAGGGAATTGAAAACTAGTACCATGAGGTTGCTCCCAAAGGAAACAGGATTAAACCCCCCCCCCCCACAACGTATCGCCGTTGTGATATTCAAAATTATCCTTCCTCATCAAACATCACGTATATTTTTAGTTACAAAAAAAGTAAAATTTTTGATTTTATATAAAATATTTTGATTTAAAAAAAAAAACTTTTAGAAAATAAAAATACGTAATATCTTATTATTCGTGATTTTTTGTCAAAACCCCTCTCCCCTAAAACGAATCATTGGCATTTACTGAACCGCTATTAGGTTAGTGTATGGTAAACAAGTTAATCAATAATAATCAATTAAGCAATTATACTTTTTCTTATTAAAATAAGTCATCTAGTCATTCCAATTGTGAACATTTGCTTACTCAACAAAATAGTTCTGTTCAACAGTAACATGTGTTGTAGTTTATAAAAAACGAAATACGGGGTACGATTCAGGCAGTGGTACGACTTCACCTTATATTGGATTTTTCCAGAAGACCAAGAAGTTTAAATACCTAGGTAGGTCCAATTTTGTATGGCAAAGCGCACATTCTCTTAAGTGTGCTTTTCTTTTGCAAGCATTTACGGTAAATATAAATCAAGATTTAACCCTTTCGACTCGGATGCCGCTCCGGTGGCAAATTTCATATAAATCTCGCAATTCGCGAGTGGAAGGGTTAGATTTTGTGAGAATAAAGCCAAAATAAGTTTACTAAATAACACAGACCGTCAGCTTTCCTTTATTTCATCAGCAAGTGCCTGCGCTTGAGGTGTGTTTCCTTTACCAGCTTGGCGCAGTTCGCACAGTGCATCCGTCTTAGAGGCTATTTCTCCAGCTAGACGTGATATCTGCGCCGCGTCCTGCGGTAAGCAATGATCGCATACACGCCGAGCAGTTTCTATAATCTGTCTTAAGGATTTTTCTCCTACGCCTCCCTCAAAGCGCGTGGATCCTGTTAAAATGAAATATAAGTTCGTTATCACAAAAAAACTTTTAGTTTAGGACATTGCTACTAACACTAAGCCAGTCTGTAGCAGTCAACATTTTTGTGTGGGATGGCATTGCTCAGTTTTTTCAATACTGTCAGGTTGTCCAATTCGCTCTGGTCTTCATCATATGTAGTTAACTGTAAGACTCTGTAAAACAAAAAACATATTTTATATGCGTATATAGGGCAAAATAATATTACCAAATACCTAATAATCTCATGAATTTCATCAGACATTCTTGAAGAAATAGTTTCTGTTTTCAGATGCCTCTTCGGCACCCTTGCCACCTTGATCCATAATGTGGATATAGATCTTCATACTGCAAATCAAAATCGGAGCTAAGGTTTTGACTTGTTCAAGGCATCGAACTAAAATCTCGCTGTGAACTGATGTGTTAATTCTTTTTCACGAGCACTCACTTCTCGTGAAACCTATCAGAAAAATTGCACGAATTAATGAAAATTACAATGAAAATACTAAATATATATATTACCTTGCTCAAGCACGGACTGAGATCTTTTAAGAATTGTATTAAATCTTCCATTGTGTCTATAACTTCAGCTACGGCTAGATAATCCAAAACCTAAACTTATATATAAAAATGTATAATAAACAATTTAAAGTATTTTCTAAAAGATATAAGGAAGACCATAATTTTATTTTTACCTTCTTGCATTCCCGCATAATTTTCTGACCTCAGATTCATCAAAACATAGCAAAAGTGCTGACGTTCCCTGTAAAATACCCCTAGATCCTTCTATCAACTTTTTCCGAGCAGGGCCGGAATAGGGGTCTTGTTAAGCATTGCCGAAGCATCTTCGAGCAGACGGGAAGCCTCTTCGACCCGAAGTAAAGCACTCGGCATGTCTTGTTTGAGAATGTCATCCTCTGAGCTGTTTATAGTATCTCGCCCGACCTGAAGAACCATCGAGTTAAACGAATATAGTTTTATTATTAGAATTATTTCATAAAAAAAATTCTGAAAATTATACAAATACTACCTTGACTAAGTTTGTGACAGCTCTGGATACAGCCTGTACCGGCCGCTCCAGATCGGGCATAGCATTTCCATCTTCGGCTTCTTCATGTAGAATTACTAGTCGAGATACCTGAAACCAAAAATTATTAGTATTTATTGTATAAACATTTTCATAAATTGTAATGGGTCCAGTATAATATAACAGATCTAAACAAGTGTCCAGAAAACAGATCTAAAAATTCCTCTGGGCATTTTTAAATATATCAAATGCAGATGGGCCAACCGTTGCGTTACCTTTAAAAAGCTACGTATTTAAGAAGTATTATGTTGTTGTAGTTGTCTAGATTGTTGTTGAAAAAAAACATACTTTGTCAGTGATAATAATGGCTCATAAATAAATTACAATTGTTGATCAATTTTTATAGTAACGCCGAAATCGCAAAATCTTCTATGTGAAAAAACTATTTTCAGTAGCTTTATCAATGAGATAAATAATATATTATTCCAATGAAAGATATATAATTGATATCAATACCTCGAGTGAGTAATTAAAATCTGCATCTTATATTATAATCTAACAATGCCTATCAACTAAAAACAAGCGCGCCTTATCTGTTTTGATAAATTTCTAATTAATAAAGAATTTATCAATTTAATACCTGTTCAAACAAAGAACCGATAATAGAAATAATGGCATAAAACGAGCACAAAAACATGTTTTGCATTTCTTATTATTCTCGCAAAATTATTAAACAATTGTAGCTTAATTTCCGGCAGATAATTTGGGAACCGATAAAAAAAAAACTAAAGAATTTGATCTCTACCGAGTTTTATAAACGTTTAAAACATCAATAACCATTAGAACAACTTAATCAGTAATAAACACTTGAAAAGTTAAATCCAGCTTGAAGTTCGAAACAATTTGATATACTAAAAAATAATAAAATAAAAGTAAATATTGCCGAAGAAAATTAAACAAGTCGGTTGTTACAATAAAAGAAGACAAACTTTTAGTTATTCATACAAATAACATGATACAACAAACGTTCGAAAAACCCGTCCAGAAGCCATAATGCAAGCTAAATAAATGTATTTTAAGACTCGTTCACGGAATATCAAGTTTCTCCGCTTTTGAATTTACTGCATTTCAACATTCGTCCAGGAAAAGTTGGACTAGACAGAGGCGTTATAATTATACAGATATTTTTTTATATATTTAGCAGCAATCAGACCTGAACGAGTCGTATGAGCGGATGTGCTTATTTCTTTTAATAATGTGGCTTTATAGGTGGCAACCCAAACGGTCGCCCTATCTCTATGAGATAAATCTATTATTATAATTATTTTGTTAAGACAAGCAGAAAGTTCTTTGAATCATTTAAATCGGACGCTTAGTTCTCTCAAAAACTGCCATTTTTTACACATTTAGCTCTGTATCTTCGAAATGCCTGGGCCTGCCTTTTTCAAAAACTAACAAACACTTCTAATCATTAAAAATTGAATGTTTTTTAGATCATTCAAATCGGATGCTCCGTACTCTCAAGAACTCGATTTCTATTTTTTGCACTCTTTGCTCTTCATCTCCGTAACTGCTGGACCTGCCCTTGCCAAAAACTAATCAGCACATCTCCCTATCAATAGGAATCGAATGTTTTTTGAACCATTCAAATCGGTTGATCCATGCGACCGAAAATGTGACTGGAAATTTGTATCCATACATACATATACACACACATCCATATTTTCTGAGGTATGCCAAAATGTTCAGAAACCTTCAAAAAGTCGAGAAATGTAAAAAATTTCAATTTCGATTTTTGGCCCATTACAATAACTTACCCTACGGAAAGTTAAAAATAAGTATTTGTTAATTATTTTATTTTATAGCCCTGGTCTCTTCAGCACTTAGCCACTTACATTTCTTTATTCTATTCAAAGCATTTTCCATACTTCTTTTCATTTGTGTTACATACTTCTTATATATACTCTATTCCATATTCTGTATCAAAACTATTTTTTACATGCTTTTCTTTTTACCCAGCGTCAAGACTCGATTTTGATACCTATTTTGTAAACTATAAAATCTCTAAAAATTTTGTCTACCTTTTTAATGCCAAATGTATGAAAATATATTATCGCATTGTCATAAAGTTCAGCTCTGCGCCAAACTCCTTTGAAATGAGTTCACAAGAAAAGCGATGGGCATTCTGCCAATGAAACACGCGCACAAACAAAGCTCGAATTTGACTTAGGCGTCCAGAGACGCTGCTTCGGTCAATAACTGCAGACGCATGCTTGGTGAATCATTAATTTTAGCTAATTACAAGCTGGATGAGACTATAAATATAGATATATCTTAGGGTATAGCACTAGGTGGACTAAAGCTATCTGATTATTCGATGGAAGACTCGAGAGGAATAAAACAATCCACTGAACTTCAATATTAAAGTCAAAGGTAACGAGTAACTACAACAACCTCAAATTACCATTTTAAATGGATCAACTATATTATCATAAATTCTGCAGTGTTATGATTGGTATTAAATTTTTATGATATCTGACTTTTTTTCATATGTCACCAATCAGAACCTTACGACCTATAAGCTGATGGGCTAAACCTTCTCCTTACGCCATATTTTTAGATGGTAACCCAACCATTGTTGATCTATCTAAATATGATTATTAACTTCTCGCAAGGCAAGTTATAGTAATCGCAAAAAAATCGAAAATGAACATTTTTATATATCTTTACGTTTCGAAACCTTCTGAACATTTTGGCATACCTTAGAAAAAATGAATGTATTGTATGTGTGTGTGTGCGTGTATGTATGTATGTTCGGATACAATTTTCGTCGACGATTTCGGGAACACGGATCAACCGATTTGAATAATTCAGAAAAAACATTCGATTCGTATTGATAAGGAGACGTGCTGATTAGTTTTGGGGCGAAGGCAGTCTAGCCATTTCGAAGATATGGGGCAAAAAGTGCCAAAAATGGTAACTCGGTTTTTAAGAGAACGGAGCGTCCGATTTTAATTATTCAAAAAACATTTTACTTGTATTGACAAGATGAAGAATTGATTATTATTATTAATTTTCATGAAGGCAGGTCTAGCGGTTTCGGAGATCTAGTGAAAAAAGTAAAAAAAAAGCCATTTGGCGGTCAAAAATGATCATTAGACATATGCACATCAAATTATCAGATATTTTACAGAGATTTTAATAATAAGTATAACTTTTGTTTACATTGCTATGGGTTCCGTACCAATGTTTATCCGTTAGACGGCGATGCGGCGCTTACGCGCTTCGACATTTCGTTTATATGCAGTTAAAGCAGTACGATTGCTTTGAAAAAAAGTTCAGAATTTCCAAAATGTGTCAAAATAAAACATTTTTTTTTTCAAAAAAATTTTTTTGCAGAAAAAAGTAATTTTTTGTCAAATTTATAGTTTCTCAAAAATCTAATTTGTTCGAAGTAATTTTTTTTCAACAATGTTTATCTTTTTAAAAAAATAATTTTTGGTACGGGAAGTTCCAGCAATTTGCCTCAAGGCACGATGCCATGCGCCCCACTAGTTTTGTTATTAGAATTTATCTAATAGGGCTGACTTATTGCTCAATTTGATGCAGCAACACCTCGGATGAGCTATTTGCACTTGAGAACATATTTAAGATCTATATTTCCAACTGAAACTTGATATCGTCACTGCATTTTTTTTGGACATCAGTCAGTATTTTATTGCAACCCTAGATTTTCACTATTTAAGTATGTTTTATTAATATAGCTACGTTCGTCTATAGTAAACTATCTTAGTGAATCCGCAAACTATCTTATCACTTTCTCCATTATTGATTTATTCTGCTTTATTTTACAGAAAAGGTGTTAAATTTTTTGAGAAACGATCCGAGTGAATGAGATACTGGACTCCATAATTGGTAAATGTTCAAGATGAAGACATCAATCCAAGTTTACATCATACTCATAATATCAAGATATATTATATCAATTAATTGTATTTATATTTTGATTTTATTTGTGATTTTGAAAGATTGTGAACTTAATTTAATATTGTAAAATTCTGTATCCGTAAATGAATATACCTACATCATGTACTCTATCATATCATAGGTACATTTTTGTACTCAATAGCCAATAACAAAGTTACAAATTAATTTTACATCGTTTACTTTAGCATTATTGGGTTATGATATTCACATCTTTGTCACTCCTTCATTTTTTTTTTTACTTAACAGCTATTAGAACTACATGTTATATCAGCCCAGTGGGCAACCCAGTGGTCAACGACTCTAGATAGACCATATATTTTAGATATGTAAATCTAATAGTGTTAGCATATGTATGTTGCCACAATGCCCACAAAAAGCAATTTTTCATTTTAGATTATATTTATATCTAAAAGATTGGGTTCTTTGGGATCAAGTGAAAATTTTATATCATACTGCTTGATATTGAGCTAGTCAAAGTTGGGATTTCGGGACTCGTTTGTGTTAGCTCACATTCTTAACCATCACACCACGGGCTCACAATTAAAAAAAAAACAAAATTGAAACTATAAAATATCGTCATCAGGATCTCTGGATACGTAGTCACTACCTTTTTTAAAATTTTTAATATTATACCTAATTTAATACCCATACAAAACGTTTATTAACTTATTAACATTTTTTGAATTATTAAATAACTTAAAAACTGATGACAATGAATTGGCGCGCGGATAAAGGTGGCTTATGTTTTATTTTGGATCACATGCATAAGAACTAAAAATACACATGTTATTGTTGGCGCGGGCAAAAATAAAAAGTAAAGTAAACAGAATTCTTATTTCACAGGTTTACATAACAAATATACACTTAAATCATACCTATACAACAAATAAACACTTTCATGTTGAGAAACTTTTATGTAGGAAAGTTTTATTATATTAAATATAATTATAAACTAGGTGCAAGTGGCATTTTCCTTGAGGCAAAAGTAAATTTTTTTTGTAACAATTGCGAAGAAATGGCCTGACCAACTTTTACCAAAAACTATTCAGCACGATTACCAAGTGATATAAACACGATTACAATAAAGTTGTGATTTGTACTAGAATTGGTGGCATTTGTAAAAA